GGAGTCTGGCCAGCCTTCGGTCGACGTGATCGACGTTGGTGTGGGGGCCAGTCATCTTGACCCTGAATTTGACCCCAAAGATTTTTGTAATCTGTTGGAGGGGTATCAAAACATTGTCATTGCCATTGGATACAACAACCCAAATGATCCATTGGGACATGGTCGTTTTCTGGCAGAAGTGGAGTTGATGTGCGACTTGGACAATTGCAAGTTTCTGCACATAGATGTTGCCATGACTGATCGATGGGAGAAACATCAACACCCCCAAACACCATATATCAATGACCATGGTTTGGCATTCACATGCAATGACGAACAGTGGACCCATGAGTTTGAATCTTGGTTTCGTGGACAGACGATGGACGATGTCTTGTCTTGGAAGTTTGCAGATTGGATTGGGAGTTGGGCCAAGGAAGATGATTTGAACCATCAAATGGGGATAGCGTTTGTGGGGGACATGCATGAAGAAGCACATGAAGAGCATCAACGACTTGACGCCCTCTGGGACTCCGATGACAGAGCCCAGGTGAACCCTGTTGAGGAACTGATTTCTGAGGAAACCCTCATTGACGAAGTCGAGATTCCAGGACTTCCACAAGATGAGGTGGAGAGACGCAAGCAGTGGAAAAAGCTTCCAGCCAGAGTGAGGATCGCTGTCAGGCGACTTCACCGTCAGTTTGGTCATGTGCCGAGGCAGACCATGATCCACTTGCTTCGTGCTGCCAGGGTTCGAACAGAGTTATTGATGCAGTAAAACTTCATAGGTGCACAGCATGTGAAGAAACATCCCGAAAGAAACCCACACACAAAACTGCATTGCCCCACAACTACTCTTTCAACCATAGCTTGGGAATTGATGTTTTTGAGATCATTGATGCAGGTGGTTCCAAGTTTCAAGTTTTGAACATGGTAGATCTTGGGACGACATTTCAACTGTGCGAGGTTGTCAGAACAGGCCAGGGACAGCCATCATCCAGTGAATGTCTGAAGGCCCTGCAGAAACGTTGGTTTTCATGGAGTGGACACCCAGTGAACTTGATGTGTGACCGAGGGTTGCATAACCGTGGTATACTGTCAAAGTACATGGACGATCATGGCATTCAGGTTTATCACAGCCCACTTGAGGCACCTGAAAACCTTGGCCGTGTAGAGCGCCACGGGGCCATTGCCAAAGCTCTTTTCCGAAAGGTCTCAAAAGAAACTCAACCTCTTGGCAGAGAACAGGTTGAGTCAGTTCTGCAAGAGGTGCTCATGGTGAAGAATAATGCATCACGTGTAGGAGGTTTTTCACCATCACAGTGGGTGTTGGGTAAGGCACCACGCTCAGACCCCAGTCCATTGTCCGAAGAGCGATTTGCAGAGCTCGGAGCCTTGGAGGCCCAGCACAACCCCGAAAGCATTTTTGCTTTGCAGCATCTTGCTAGGCAGGAAGCACAGAAAGCATTTGTATACCTCGATTGCTCCAAGCGTGTCCAGCGAGCCATGACCAAAAACACATCACCTTTTCCGAGAGACTTCGAAATCGGGGACTTGGTGACTTTTCGCAGGGATAACCAGCGGGGAGGCACACGATGGAGTCCCACAAGTAGGGTGATAGGCCATGAGGGAGAGAGAAACCTATGGTTGCTTTGTGGAAATGTCCCGGTACTAGTGGCCAGTCAGAATGTGAAGGTAGCTACTCCAAGTGAAGCATTGGCGCATTCGGTTCTCCATGGGCAGCCTGTCATTCCTGATGAGGTCGTGATCGGAGGTGAACAGCAATCCTTTTTGGATGCTCGAATTTCCCCAGATTCCCAAAGTGACGGATATGAGCCATCCGTACTTGAGGCGCCTGAACCAATTGCCTCAGGCGAGGGAGCTGAACTACCATTCATAAATTGGGGAGATAATAATGAGGATTTACCACCAATACCCGAAGATGAAGAATTGGATAATGCAGGGGTAACTGTACCGGAAATCACCATTGATGGTGAAGACATGTCAGATGAAGTAAATGGTACAGATGAACTGATTGAAGCTGCCAGTTCCAGTCTGGACAGACGGAGATCAAGTGTTGCCCCTCGTGCCGACAGAAACGTGAGACCCCGTCTTGAAACCCAACCTGAGAGTGAAAGAGGGTCATCGCTTATGCCTTCCAGGCGCGAATCTGTTGACTCAGCAGACAGACCTTCTGCTGAAGCACCACAGCCAACACCATCACAAGCCGCAGGGCCACAATCATGGCCCAATCCGTATGACAGTCTTAATGACCTTCCAGCATCCCTGAGGAGCCACTTTGAGCGAGCCCGAAATGCGGCCGCACAATGGTCCGTAGAACAAGTTGAACAGTCCACAGCCATGTTCACATGTTTTATGGCAGGGAAAGATGAGATTGTAGAAGAAGGCAAGAAGGTCCTGAAAAGCATTCATTTCGAATCAGCGCCACCTGAGGTTCAAAAGGCACTGCAAGCTTCTCGAGCCCAGGAATGGTCAAAGTTTGAAAGCTTCGGAGCAGTCGTGCCACTGACTCCGGATCAAGTGCAAGAGCTTGTTGCTGAGGGACATCAGATTATACCCTCCAAATGGGTAGATGTTGACAAAGCTCAGTACAAGAAAGGCCGAGATCCAAATTACCAGCCACAATACAAAAGCAGGTTAGTTTCCTGCGGAAACTTCGAATGCAGTGACGGTCTGAGGTCAGACAGCCCCACAGCTGACATTGAGGTTCACAACCTCATTTGCTGTTGGTGTGCAGCACATGAGCTCGACTTGCATTCGGCTGATGTGACATCAGCATATTTCCAAGGACGACCTTTGGACCGGGTACTCCTGATGAGACAACCCCGGGGTGGCATCCCAGGAGTTGACGAGGGAATTGTTTACCTCGTAAGGGTACCAATCTATGGACTCACAGACTCAGGTCGCGGATTTTGGCTGCGATTGGATGGAGATGCCAAGAAAGAAGGCATGAAAGCATCACAGTTTTTCCCAGGTCTTTATTTTCTTCCAGGGAGCGATGGTGATACATGCGCATTGATGTGCACACATGTTGACGATCTTTTGTACTGTTACTTGCCCCAAGGTAAGGAAGTCATCGAACGTTTTCTGAATAAGTTCAACATCGGCAGCACCGAAGTGAACGAGTTCAGGTATTGCGGAAAGCAGTTTTCGCGTTCAGGTGACGGAGACATTTTCGTCGACACCGTCGATAACACCAGGAAGATCAAACCAATTCCAATTGACGCTGGCCGTCCAGGCAGTGAGAAGATTTCAGGTGATGACACCACACGACTTAGGTCGGTGACCGGGTCACTCGCTTGGGTTGCTCGCCAGACAAGACCAGATTTGGCATACCGAGTTAGCCGCCTACAATCTTCAATCAAAAATGCCACAGTCAGCACTTTGTGCGACGCAAACGCAGTTGTACAACTTGCTCACAAAGGTGATCAGGTAAGGCTTCGTTTTCCAAGCGGACATCTCAAATGGGATGAGATAGGTCTGATCACAATTACTGACGCTTCATTCTCCAATGAACAGAACTACCGTTCCCAACAGGGACGTTGTCACTTTCTTGGAGACCTCACAGAGATCAAGAGCAGTAGCTGCAACACGTACAGAGTAATGCCTCTGTCTTACAGCTCTACCACGATCCGACGTGTGTGTCGAAGCACGCTCCAGGCTGAGACGTATTCACTGCAGCATGGTCTCGAAGCAGGGGACAAGCTCAGAGGTGTCTTGGCAGAACTCAAAGGCCAGATCAAATCCATGCGGACATGGGAAACTGATGCAAGGAGCTGCGTACCGCACTTAGCCCTCACAGATTGCCGCTCATTGTCAGACCACTTGGCTTCCGAGATCCTGGCGAAGGTGAGCGACAAAAGACTTGGCATCGAATTACAAAGTATTCACGAATCCTACTGGAATGATGACCGAAAAACATGGGACATCTATCCGAATGGAGGAGATAAGCTGTCATGGATAGCAACACACACCATGATCAGCGACTGCCTTACAAAGAGTATGAAACCAGATTTCATAATTCGAGTGTTGGCAGAGTGCATGTACAAAGTACAGAAGCAGTAATAACACCACTGCGTTCTTTCTCCGCAATGCCCTGTACAGACATAGCTGTATATATTTCTATGTGACACCTGAAGAACAGGTTGAGTGTCAATTTGTGGTATGTGATACTCCATGTAAAGGCCAGGTTGTCACATGTAGTGTCTGCTGCCATTTCGGCTATCAGGGCCCTTGAGCTACATCGCTATCGCTACTAGCAAAAAGAGCCGCGTTGGACTGCACGATACCGTTGCCAATTCACAATATATATAGTGACGGACATATACTTAGAACATCATTTTTTTCCAAAATTTCGGAACCTTTTCTTAGAACATCAAAACAACTACACTTAGAACATCAGAAATGTTCTAAGTACGCACTTAGAACATCAGAAAAACAGATACTTAGAACATCTCCTTTGATTTTTTGCATACTTAGAACATTAAACACACATATACTTAGAACATGTCCTGTTACTTTGGTAAATCTGCATATATACACACAAATACCTTGGTGAACACCATACTTAGAACACTTTCTCCCCTCACTGCTGCAGCATTCTATACCTTTTCTTCGGGAACAATATCCCAAGCAGTCTTCGCTGCAATGGGAAGGTCTCTAGTATATAATTTGTGGGTTTCCTACAGGAGGTAGTCAACAAGCATAGGTTTCAATACTAAAATGAGCTAAAATGAATTATGTATAATTTTGAACATATATGTATGGTTCCCATTGGTTCCCCACTGGGATGTTCTAAGTATAGCTTGGAAATGTTCTAAGTATAGGTTTTGGGTATGTTCTAACGACTTAATACTTAGAACATCCCCGCTGTGACGGTTTTCAGATTTTTTTTCCAAATGATGTTCTAAGTATTTGTCCGTCGCTATATATACATAGAATCTATAAAATCCATCCTCAAGATTCCAAGGCATCCTGGATTCCTCTGGATTCATCGTCGGCAGGTCGATCATACACATCCCAAAGCACGCTGCGGCGCTGAGGGCTGTACCCGAGGACTGAGGACGGGCTGAGGGATGCTGAGGGCTTCACGATTTACATCGATTTACGCATGACTGAGAGGAGTTTGAAAAAAATCATCTCTGGTGACCATCCCCTGTGTTTTTTTTGCAGCGTTTTTATTTTTTGCAAAAGGACATCTTGTCGACAAAAAAACTTGGGGAAAATCTGCAAGATACCTCCAAAATTCACCGGAAGAAGCATGGTTTCCTGTAGATTTTCCCGAAAAAATCCCCATAAAGAAACCCAGGATGCGCCCCAACACCTTGCCCCACAACCAGAACGCAGCTAGGATTAGATACAAGAGCTCGTAATAGTCCACTTGTTCGCTGGGAACTCAAGAATGAGCTGAGTAGTAGAATCATTTTGAGACATTAGGACGGCCTTCAGATTTTTTTTCACGTTTGATGTTCAAGGATTCACACGCTGCCTCCAAACTTAAGATTGGGCCCACACATTGCATTTCCAGTGATTTGCGGGTTGAACACCACCAGGAAGAATTGGTTTCTATCCCCTTCTATCCCCAATATGGTAATGGTAATGTAGTTTGAGATTCTTATCTGGCCACCAGCCAGATGGTTTATTTTCCCATTGATTCCATCCAAATAAAAAACCTCCACAAACCTCCATTTATCCATTTGAGGCAAATGGAAGAACCCCTAAGAAGTTGATGCTTCCCAAATGGAAGTACCTCCATAAACCTCCATTTATCATCATTTATCCCATTCATATCTCATCTTACTGGTGCTAAACGTCGGGAATTTTCGGGAATGATACACAATAATCCCATGAATCGCAACTCAATGGCCATTTCAGGATCCTAGATATCCTAGATTGGAGGTACCTACCATATATAAGGCCTATTTTTGAGGCCTATGTAAGGGAATACCCCCATCCTTTCCCTACGTAAAACGCACCAGTCAAATCCCCATTGGTCGAGAGATTAGTAGGATCGACTCCTACTGGAGACCGATGCCCCCGATCAGCTGCCGAGATCCTTAAGAGGTGGAGAACTCAACGGGGCTTAACGGTTTTTTTTTGGGCTCAACGGCTAAGCCAAAGGAGAATCCATGGGGCACTTCAGGAAATCATCTGGAAATGGATAGAAATGGATAGAAATGGTGGATTTTCCATATTTAAGTGTGGGTCAAAACCTATTATTGTCAATTTGAGTGGGATGAACATCCATCTATCAGCTATTTTAGGGTTTACTAGGTGCCAGGGTTTTGACCCAGACCCATCTCAGAAATTACTCTACTGCATCATCATTTTTTTCCAACTGAAATGAAGATTTTGGGGTGTGCTCTATTTTATGGACATCCTCATTACCAGTGGGATATATAGTATGGGAGAAACTTTCCGCATTCTATAATCTTAGATGGTTTGTTAGGTCTGAAATCTTGACTCAAGTACCCGCTCTGCATGCTTGTTGGTTCTTTTTCACAGCCGGGATAAACAAGACAGAAAACGATATCTCCATTGACGTTCCTCCCTTCTGTGGTTTGCATTCTTGTAGACACGACAATAGTGATGCGAATCTTATATCAAATGACATCATTCACAGATGGCATCCCGGTATCCCTATCCTGATCTAGTTTGTTGTATCCCCATTAGAAATATGTAAATGAATCAATCCCAACAGGTTGGGTATCTATTGGATAAACTATGATATTTAGCGTATGATACCATATCGATATACCATATGATATGACCCGTTTCTTACACTATACAGTATACACTTCTATCCTGAAAAGCAAAAAAGGGTGTTTTTTTCGTGCAACTTTTGGTGGTATAAATCGTGCCACTGTTGCAGACAATGGGCCAATCACAAAATGTACCCATATACACCGTATTCATGTACCATACCAAATACGATCCACAGGATATATACGTAGTAAACCTCAAAATCGATATAACTTTTCGTTTGGGACCTTAAACATCGAGTATTTTGATCCATCATTCCAATGCCAGGTGGCGTGTCCCCGCAGGGCGAGGAGCGGGCCGGGTCATGGCAGCAACCCGAAAAAATGGAAAGCGAAGCAGGAGCTTTGCCAAGAAATGTTGGAATTGAACTTGAAACGGTATGGAAAGAACCAGGATAATATTATGCAGCTGCACAAGCAACAACTATTACTGCTTTACCACTCAAAAGCCGAAATGTAGTTTCGTATAGATTCATGTAATTTCAATTGATTTCATATAATTCCACATTGGATGTAAGAAGTCGGTTTTGTCTCGTGGAGTCTCAGATCATTTTGGACTGCCGCTTAGCTTAAGCGCTTGCTGCGTTCACGTTAGTTCACGATCTTCCCATGATCCATCGCCGACCTGGGGCACCGAAAAGGGCCCGGGGGGGTTGGTTGAATTGCCATGAACTATGGCACGTGTGTTGGAGGTTTTTCACGATCTTGTAGTAATTTGTTAAATCAAACGTGATAAACCAACGTCGAAAAGTCATCCAACCATTGAAGTTGGGGTATACTGGGTATACTCACACATAGGACTATCTGAAAATTGGATATACCTCCCAAATGGATTCATTTTAAATGGTGAAACTGATGAGAAATCGAATGGAGATATCACATCTCCCACACCCAGGAGGTTCATGCCGATGAAGATGGGCTTCTCAACGTGGGGTCAACTCAGAATGCCAGAAGCGAAGAAGTGGCGGAAATGATTTTGTTTGAAACATGGGGAATTCACATGATCTCACCAACAAGAATGAGGATTTATATAGTTGATTCACGTATATTCACGTTGATTCATTATATATATATAGAGTTGGTTTGGACAGTATTACTGTATATCCTTTGGATCCCTTTGGTGCCATCAAAGGTTGGGACATCAATTGATCGGAGGAGGACATAGCTTCAACCACATCATTTCGGGAGAATGACATAAATCCCCTAGAATGTGGTAACCGGATGTAACCGGTAACCATGAATTTGGTGCTTTATCAATGGTAATTTCGGTGTGGGATCTTTGTAATTTGCCATGTATCCATACCGGTAGTGGAAGCCACAAAGACGCAGCAATAGATGAACATGATGGATACCGCCCTGGTGCCAGAAGGTAGAGTTCTTATGGATTTTGGGCAGGCTCGCTAACTATTTGAACGGTGAGATCCTGATTAAAGTAAGGACCAACAGATATCGACAGATATCAACAGATAGATATCCCATTGGTTGATTTTCTGTGATGATAGATGGGATATACCAGTCACCGGCCCCTCTATTTTTACCAAAAGGACATTATTGTATCAACACACTATAAGGCCATTATGGTACTGTACCACAATTCTGGCCATATTTTGTGGGGATATCCCCTTACATAGGCCTCAAAAATAGGCCTCAAATATGGCAGGTAGGTACCTCCAATCAATCGGTTCCTGTTGCATGGCAGGAGCCCTGCTGGCTGCCCCTGGTGTTGGAGGCAGCGGCGGCTCATCGACAGGCGCGGATCCCCAAGAAAGTTGTAAATCCCAAGATATCTCCATTGATGATGGTTGATTTATCCTATATTTATCCCAAATAAACCCTTATTAAATCCCATATATGGTTGATCCAGAATATTGGGGTGTTTCCTAATATCATATATAATATTACCACTATTAATGCCCCAGGTATTGGTTGATCCTATGCCATGCGCTCTCCAGCGTCACAGCGTCTGGCCAACGGAGGTCTCAGAAAGCCATCTGGCAGAGTTGACCAGCTTCAATGCCTTGCGGGTCTTCAGGCGCCGGAAGGAAAGTCAACTATACTCTGGCTGGTGGTGTGACTAAAAGTGACTTATATCCGCCAATTTATGGCAATTTCAATGATTTATATGGGAGAATGATGACTGGTTGATGGTTTGGAACATGAATGGATGATTTTTCCCATCATATTGGGAATGTCATCATCCCAACTGATGAACTCCATCATTTTTCAGAGGGGTTGGTTGAAACCACCAACCAGATACTACTTGGGTTCCTAGGGGTTGTTTCCTAACTCATCTCAGCCCCCTACTAGTAAACACTCCTTAGAAACTATGGGTTAGTAGGACATTTCCACATCATTGGGACCATTTCGGAGGTGTTTAATATCATGGGGATGGGATTATGGTTTATGACTGTTTATGATACTTATAACTAAAGTGGACGGGGGTTGTAAACCGGCGCATAGCTGGTGGGCACACATTGTAGACTTAGGATCAGCCACTGGGGACTGAGAAAAACCATGCTTAGAAAAACCACATGATCCTGCGTGGGGAAGCTTTACCATCCAGTAAACCAACACATATAGTTATTATGTGTATGTATATAATTGTATAATATTGTATATACGTATATATATATGATATATCCTGAAAATGACCATGGTGAATCTAGCACATGATTCTGGCTTTTACTCTGTTGAATTGCCGGAGGATAGAAATGAACGTAAGTATACATATGTACTGATATGGTTGAGTGGTGTCAATGAGGCACAATGTGACTACTTACCTGTCAACGCTGTTTATCAGCAGTCAATGCTTGGATGTCAATCTTGAGTTTACTTTAGCTGCTATCCGTTTAAATAAATATACATGCATGTATTGATCTTGACAGTAAGTCTTCTAAATATCTTTACATTTTTTATAGGAGAAAATCAGGTTTCGGACATGTTCAAACCATGTGATGGAACATGATGGAACTGAACCTGCGAATGGGTTCGTCCACAAATAGGATATACCTTCTAAACTGGGCATTCAATAGCAAACAAGATGATCAACCATCAAAATTTGTGGGGTAATATATTTTCAAACAAGCCCATATCATGGTTGATATTCACTTGCCATGCCCAAGTCTGGTTGTTTCGTCGAACGCAGGTTCAGAGAGCACGCCACACCCGACGCGACTCAGAGTAAAAAAAAAAAGAATGGCCTTGCTGTGGCCTGGGCGGTGTACGGCTTCGTGGTTGTTCGGAGACAAATTCGGGGTACATCAACAGAAGTTCTGGATGGCAGTTCTGAGATGTTTAAGTCTGAATTTCCTCAAAATCGCAGACCCACAGTTGAACCATGTTGAAGCCTGTCACATTTCTTTTGCAGATGAGAAAGTCCCTTTCTGCAGGACATTTCCAGAGTTTTTGGTGTATCAAATGATTTGACCACAGCCCTTGGATCATTGGATCATATTGGATCTACCTCAATGTGTCGCTATCATGTCACAAAGTCGAAGGAGTGCATCAGTTGTACAAGGGGCTGGTTGTTGACTCAGCGTGGTTGGCCCCGATGGATGGGATGCTTGGTGACTGGATCGAACAATTTTTGATCGAATTTTTTGTTGGAGATATTTCCTCTAACAATTGACGAATTTAAACAACAGTCTAAAGGTCATCAGTGGCTTATAGTGAACAATTCTATATACAGTCATATATAATCATATATAATTGAGATAGAGATCATCACTGGGTTGTAGTCACAACATGTTCAACATTTGATGGACTATCCAACCATGCCATTCACTGACTTCAGGGATCACCCCACTACCCTCAGGTAGTTTAGCATAGACATGGAAAATCACCATCTTGAATACTTAAATCATCAAAGTCAATGGGCCATCCATTCCATTTCTATGTAGTTAACTAGATTTAACTCATTAGTGAATGGATTCTGGTTGGTGGTTTGGAACATTTTTTTTTTTACATATATTGGGAATAATGATCCCAATTGACTAATATTTTTCAGAGGGGTTGAAACCACCAACCAGGATTACACTTGGGGATAAGGATGGATTAATAGTGCCTTATAAGTCAACCACTAATCAGCGAGCTAATTCCAATGGCCCATCCGCAGGTTCGCAGTGGGTGCTGGTGCTGCTCCGGCGGCTGCATCCTCAGCAAAAGCGGCGGTTGTGGGTTGGGCTCACTTTCTCCCTCCGGGAATAAAGAATGACATACACTCATAATCCATCCTTATCAATCCATTGGAAGTATCACAATGTTACGATATACCCAACAATATTAGGATGTCCAATAATATCCAACGGAATGATCATCCGATCATCCGATGATTGCTATCCCAAATGAGCATTACTGTATATACACTAATTGTCATGAATTATCCATTATATCATTGGTTATCCAATCTTTATATCAAGATACTGGTACATAATGTTAGTCATATCTTGATATGATGATAATTAATTATATAGCATATTTTGATTAAGTCCAATAAAGATGGTATACTGTACACCTATTTATTGTATGTTATTGTTATTTACTATTTTTATATCAGATCTTGTCATTGTTTGTCCATAGACCCGCAGCCGACTCCCCTTGAGGTTGGAGCATGAGGCCTCGCCACGAACGGGTGAAGAAGGAAAGGACTAGCCCCGCGGCCCAGCAGCTTGTGTTTTCCAGTGTTTCTGGCTTATTCTCCAGATTCCCATTTATATGCCTGGAAAATACCATAGAAAATTCCATATATACCAGGTATTTTTCCATGGGAGAAGCCCATCACATCTATATATGGAATTGTTGAAGAAGCTGCTGGGACAGAAGTAGAGGCAGTGAACTCTGCGACGATTGAAAGACCAAATCGTCCGCAACATCGGCAGCATTTGGAGCTGCTCTAACACCAGGCAGCCAACCCTCCTTACGGTGTCTTTAAGCCAGATCTACATGTGATGAAGCAACAAAACAAGTGAAGATCAATGTGATGTAGCTTTGGTGGAAATCATGCACTCAATTATCATACAGAATTATAATATTATACATATATATATAGACACACTTGCAGTACATTACAGGAATTTTTGCCTAAAATTGGACCCGACCGTCAAAACTCTTCAAGCTGAGCGTCAGCCCGAACGTACATTCCATAGCAGGGGTTGCAGAACAATCTATGGTGGCGACAAATCCAATGACAAGATGCAGACTGCAAGAAGAATTGCGAGCAAAAAAGAAGGAGATTTGTGGCACTTGAGGTTAACCTTTAGATCTGATTAATGGCAATTTGTTACATTTAACTATGGAAAATCACGTTTATCAAAAGGATTGAAAAGGTAAATCCACATCTGAGATCATGTGTCCAGCAAAGAAACTCTGCCATCAGCGGAGACCTAGCTGAAATAATACGGTGTCTTTGGGAAGGTCACTATGTAACCATGTTCCTTCGTTGCATGATGCTGTTGACCCTCGAGGAGAATTTTTAGACAGGGGGATGTGTCAAAACCTATGGGGACCAATTTTTGGGCGGATGAAAATCCATTTATATCCATTTATATCCATTATGATATATTATGATATAGCTATTCTATTTTGAATGGTGTACTCTAGGTTTGCACCCGCACCAACATGCCTCCCAACAGAGCAACAGGGGCACAACATCACCTCGATTTAATCAGATCTCCGATGTCATGGTCTGCTTCCACCTGCAGCTTTTCAGGCCTTTCACAACCGGTGCAGCTCCATATGTGGGGTGGTCAGAATTTTTTTCCCCACCAGGAGGATGTTTTGCCCATGTTTTCCATCACTTTTCGTGACAGTGAGCTGTGGGCAGAAACAAAATGCATGTAACACAGCACCTCCAGCAGCGGTGTGTCCATATAAACCTCTTCCAGCTGATGGCGTGGCTGATTGCTGCGACGGTGGGGAGCCTCTTAGGAAAGGTGATACTGTATCCGAAATAAACGGATAAACACGTGTGTGTGTGTACGTGTGTATACATATTTAGGCATATGTACATATGATTATATTCAAATTGTATATGCACAATTATGCAGATACTCATACACATATACATAAAATACCATAAAATACCTACTATTTGGGGGTTGCTTTAGAAGATTGTGATGTCAATCCATGTGCAGTTTGCGATTCCGAGCGCCATCCCAACTGCATGTTCCACCTCCAAGCTGGTTCAATGTCAGACACTCGCTGGAATTTTCCATACATTTTACAGATGTTTAACATCTGGTCAACATAATGGACAATCACCATTTTCAATAGGTACATATAGAATTATATAGAGGTAAATCATTCATAGATGTAGCATTTCATGTAGCATTTTCCATCATTTTCCAAGCATATCTCCTTGTTATGTCGTTCGCCAGCGTGAACAACGCAGGTGCTCCTCCCAGTGGTCCCAGTGGTCGTCCTTGCTGAACGAGTAGCATGGCAGACTCGATGAAAAAAAAAGTGGGATGAATATCCCTTAGTATCAATAATGAATAATAGATTCACTTTATAATCAATTGATTATCAATATCGAGTACTGTAATATACTACTGGTTATTTTCCATTTCATATATGGGATGTCATCCTTCCCATTGACTTTCATATTTTTCAAGATGGTTAAAACCACCAACCAGATTATAAGTGGGATGAATATCGAGTAATATACTACTTAGTATCAATCATGAGTAATAGATTAATAGATATTAATAGATACATTTATCAATTGATTATCAATGATCACCTAGAATATTAAGAATGATTATTGATAATCCCACTACTAATTGATCGACAATGATAATCATCCCACTTACAGATAATCAATGATAGTCATCTGTATATTGAGATTTGATGATCAATGATAATAGTTTAGATAATCAATAATCAATAATATATGATAGTGGGATTGTATAATAATCAATAATCCGACTATCAATAATAGTTTAGATAATCAATAATAATATACATGATTAGATATGTATGATATTGTTATATACATGTAATACATG